ATAAATATTTATACATATATAAATATTTAATGAATAAATGAAAAAGTTAACCTCAAATCAAAAATTTTTTAAATAAAAAAATATAATATTATAAATTAATTTTAAAATAAACAAACAATATAATAAATAATAAATAAAATTGTGCAAAAAATTTAAATATATAATGAAATGACGTAATTTGCATTATGAAAAAAATATATTCTAAACATTTTTAATATTAAAAAATAAAAATTACACAGTAGAATCACTCTCATATACTAAATAAATGTGAACATTTTTTTAAATGAAAAATTTTTTTGAAATTATATTTACCTTTATTTATATTTCTATAAATTGTCAAGATGGAAAGACGTTACTGTTCGTACACATATTTTGTCAAAGAGTTTTTATCATTCACATCTGTATGCAATTAAAATTAAATATATTCATATCTATATTTAATTAATTTTACAATATTTATAATGATTTTACTAATAATTACATGTAAATACTAAAGAAATTGTAATACTATGCTTCAAAATGTAAAGTCTACATTACTCCTTTTACAGCCGGAAACAGTTGGACATTTTAAGTGCATATGTGCTGCCACTTTACGGAAATTTTTATTACTATCAAAAAACTTATTTTAAAATACTTTAAAGGAAATTTAAAATGTACATAATTTAATGTTAAATTAATTAAATATATATTCAAATATTTTTTAATCTATTAGAATCATTAACCTAATGTTGATAATGTATAAATTAAACAAAATATTCATTTAAAATCTATTATGAAAACTATTTCAAATTTGATATTTTGATTTTATAAATTTTTCTTAAATATAAAAAATTATTCATATTTAATATTTTTTTATGTGTATAAGTTAAAATTATTTTCAAATGATAATTAAGATTTAAAGATTTGAAATTTGAAACAAAAAATATTATTAATAATGCTTATGCATACATGTTTTTAGATTCGATATAAAATTTTGTAATATATTTTAAAAATATTAATAATTTATTATAATTTAAATATATATAATAAATTATTAATTAAATTTATATATGAATAAATTTTTCTATTTTCTATTATTCAAATAAATGTTTAAAATCCATTTTCACATTAATTGTTTTCAATTTTTTTATCGTTATAAATCATTAAACAATTATAATAATTGCATTATTGTATTTTACGATTGATTTATTTTACATAGAAAATAATCCTATTATAGGCTATTGTATACGTTTCGATATATATCTCAACACAACAGGTGATAACAGCTGATTCATATGTAACAGAAAATATTTCAACTTGCATGTATTTATTTTTATAACATTATTTTAAAATCTGTAATTCCTTAATTTATTTGTATATGTAATTAACAAATATCAAAAATAGATTTAGAAAATTTAATAATAATTATTAATAAATTATGTAAAAAATAAAAGAAAATAAATAATGAATAATATAATGAATAAACAGTCAGTTTCTAACAAATTTTTTTATCACATCAATTATAATTGATTTTGAAAGAAAAAAATAAAATACAATTCTAACCTATACGACCTATAACACTTATACAAGATAGATAACACAATATATATATATACAGATTACATAGAACATCATTATATATACATAAAAAATAATTTATTACATATGTATATGTATATATATATACATACATATATACATATATATGTACATATATATTTATACAAAGAAAGCGTATGAAAGCCATAAGTACGCATGAAAGCATATATGTATATAGTGCATAATATATATATGTATGTACGTATATATATATATATATATATATATATATATATATCTATTTCATGCTGGAAGTACCCGCTTGGTGCTACGGCGCATTTGCCAGTATCAACCGTCTGCGTTTATCGACTATCATGTATGCTGTGGCAAATGTGATCCATTGACTTCAAATACAAAAATTATCGTGATTTTTACGTAAACGTTACATCAATAATCATGATGGATGTGCAGAAGCAGTATAAAGGTAGGAAGAGAGATTTCGATTCTTTTCCTGTTGACACTTGAACAAAACATCTAAATCAAACTTAAGATGGAACATTATGACAGTTATCACAATTAAAATCATAATTTCTTAACTATATGTTTTCGTTTATAAGTAATTCATTTGATGAAACTATTATTTTTCGATTTTAAACTTTAAATGACTATTGATATATATGTATGTCCGACATGCATTCGATTATTGACATACACTTTTGGAGGGAAGAAAGCTGTAGGTGGAGATGTAAATAAACATATATTAATTGATCGATTATAATTACGCATTGTTTTTTTATTTTTTAACAAATAGAATTTTTAATCATCAAAAGACATGTAAAAAATTATCTTGTCTATTTTATTAATTTGTTTAGAATCAAGTAAAAAAGTAGTTTAATCAATGAAACAAATAAAAAAATATTGTCATAAAGATATTAACATATTTTTATTTATTATAGTATATCATATAATAAAAATATTGTACATGAAAAATTTTTATTACATATTTATATTACTATATTCTTTTACATGAAAATATCATAAATAATTATTTTTAATTTAAATTATAATTATTTTAAATCATTATATAAATTGCATATTAGCTAAAAACTATTTATAAAAAGATACATTCAACAAGAATCATTTATATAAGTAATTAATTATGACGTTAAACTATATCATTAATTAAATATGTTTATTATTACAAAATATTATTACAAAAATATTATTTAAAATAAGAAATATATTCTTACATTATTCTTTTAATCATGAATATTAATATTCATATTTTATATTTTTTAATGAATTATTACATCAATGTAAATCGATAATAATAATTGTATTCTTTTGAGATATGAATATAATAGGGCAAATTGTGCGAAGGCAATGTTTGACTTTAATCGGACTAAATTATCATGTGCGATTTAATTTTTTAATCAAATTATATAATAAGAAAAATCCTTTGATCATAAATATTTTTAAAAAAATATTATATGTATTCAAAGTTGATATAAAATTCTTCAATTTTTCTTTTATTAATTCTTCTTATTAATTCATTATTAATTTAATTATTATTAATCCATTTATAATCCAATTGTAAATCAAATAAATTATATTTTTTTTATTTTTATATTTTACATTATATATATAATTTTTAATTATTAAAGTATATATAACAAAAAATAATTTTTAATTTTTTTCAAATAATGTATAAATATTTTCGTATTTCATACATCTATCAGTTTTTTATAATTATCATTATTATATATATTATTATTCATAATTATCATTATTTCAAATTAATATTTACAAATTATATATAATAATATAAATCACATAATTATTTAA